TTTGCAAGATATTGCCACTAGGAGAGACTGATATCTCCCTGTGCAAAAGGTACACACGATGGCTCTGGGTTATTTCTTACAACTGCATGACCACGTTTAAAATACAAAGTCTAAAAACGCAAAACGATGTATAAACCCTAAAAACAGACAGTCACACAGTGCCCCTGTCTAATGCCTCCAGAGTTGTCCCATGGCATTTGGAGGGAATCCGAACTTCCTCGGCTCTCTGCAATCTGGCTTTCATCTCCCGCCCTTTTCCTTTTGCCCCAAGACACGAAGCTCGCATCTACTTAAGCACCTCAGCACCTGCAATGAATGCTTTTGCCCCAGATCACTGTGTGGCTGAAAGCGTTTCCTCAATTAGGTGGTCGTTCAAAAAATTAAACCTGACCCGTCCTACCCCTAGAGAGAATCTTGTTTTGCGGCCCAGGTCTCCGATTCCTGGTCGCAGGCAATCCTCCTGCCTCAGCCTCCCAAAGTGCTGAGATTACAGCTGTGGGCCACCACACCTGGCCCAACTTCATTTTTAAAATGACACTGATCATGCTGTGACTCTTTGTTGGTCTATTTTCTTGCTTACTATCAGTGAGCTCCAGGAGGACAGAGATCACATCTCTCCTGTTGCCACTGTAGTGCCTGGAATGCAGTGGGCACTCCTGACTACCTCTCGAATGAATAAATGCCCAGATAAAATAAGCCAGGAGCTCTCTTTGAATAGACCTATTTTTAAAATGATTATATTGTTCTGCTCATGGGGAAATCTAGAGACAGTGACTTCATTTGAAGTTAAAGTTTTTAGGTGCTCTGTAGCCAGATTCCAAGTACAGTGCAGATGAGCTCAAATCCAGGATGGGTGGAGCTGTGGACCTCACTTGACTGGACATCGGTGTTGCTAGGAGTCACCCATAATGTGAATTTATTTACAGGAATCTTATTTGCTACTCTATAAAGCCAGGTATTTGTTCAGACAGAACAGCAGACATGATTTGAACCACAATCCTTGAATGGAAGGAGAAGGAGCCATGCTGGCCAGTTATGTCCTGTGTGGCCACTACTGTCTTCCACCAGGACACTGTCTTCTCAGCTCTGAATTTCTCTGCCATCATTTCTCTCTAATTCCCGCCCCCCTTTTTTTAGAAACAAGATCTTGCTCTGTCACCCAGGCAGGAATGTAGTGGCACAATCACAGCTCACTGCAGCCTCGGACTCCTGGGCTCAAGTGATCCTTCTGCTTCAGCCTCCTGAGTAGCCGGAACAACAGGTGCAGGTCACCACGCCTGACTAATGTTTTGTAGAAACAGCGTCTTGCTGTGTTGCCCAGGCTGGTCTCTAACTCCTAGGCTCAAGCGATCCTCTTGCCTCAGTCTTTCCAAGTGCTGGGATTACAGATGTGAGCCACTGTGCCCAGCCCAGTTTTTCTTTTGATCGCAGGAATATCACTCATGCTTGGGGAATACTTGACACTGCAGTCTTGGGAAATTTACCGCCTATTTTTTTCCCCTTGTGGTTAGTGTTTGTAATGTGTAATACCTCATTTCACCAGTAGGGGATGCCACCGAACCCCTGTAAAAGCTAAACATCCCCCACTGGCTCCCTGCTCTTGACTGTGCCAACCTTCCTGGGCAGCCCCTTCTAGTCTGGAGGTTGTCTGAGCCTCACTCAGGCTCCCCCCACCCTCTATGATCAGCATAGCTGCCAAGGAGCAGGTTCTAGGCCATGTCTCCTGGCAAAGGCTCCTTTCTTGTTCCTGTCCCTCAGCTGCAGAGGAGAAACCTGCTGGTGACCTTCTGACTGCCACCACCACACTGACCTGCCCTCTCCCAGTCAGACACTCTGGAGTTCTGCTCGGGGGCTTCCCCAAACTCTGCTGGCCCACTAAACACCTGTTCCCTTGGGGCTCTGGGGCTCGGGAGAGGCTGGGGTACTCTGGGCTCCTGTTAGGACAATCTGTTACACAGTGAGTAAAGCTGGTGTTCGTGGGCCGACCTGGGCACCTGTGAATCACTCTAGAATTAACCTCTGCTGACAAAAATTCCAACTGATTTCCAAGGGACTGTCTATAAACGATGGGCAGGATGCATTTATGCGCTGAGGGTGGTTTCTCCACTCCAGACTGTGGTTGTTTTTTGAGTTGGAGTCTCACTCTGTCACCCAGGAGGGAGCACCATGGCACGCATGTTCATGGCCACCCTGCTGGGCTCCGGTGATCCTTCCACCTCAGCCTTCCAAGTAGCTGGAACTACAGGTGCATGTTACCGTGCCCAGCTAATTTTTTTTATTTTTATTGTTCAGAAGAGGTCTCGCCAAGTTGCCCAGGCCGGGAGACTGTAGATTCTTAAAATCATGGACTGAGGTTCTGAGGAATATCTCCTATCTAACAAACTGTCAACCATGTTGAAGCTCCAGGAGAAATGTCATATGGCCTTTGAAGTCAGGAGGATGGCAGCCCTTTGGGGCTTGGTGGCTGAGGTGGATGTGTGTGGGCCACTGGGGTGCTAGTCATGTCCCGTTTCTTGGTTTGGGTGCTGACTGCACATGTGTTTACCTTGTGAAAATGTATTAGGTTCTATAGTGATAATCTATGCACTTTCTGTATATTATACTTCATAGTAAAGTTTACTTTAAAATCTATAGATTAGGTTTTCTTAGTCTACAGGATGCCTCAGAAAATTCTGGAAGTCCCATTATAGCCTGAAGAAAAGTTAAAGACAAAAACAAACACCCCTCCCTCCCAAAAAAGAAAACCAGTCATGTGAATAGACCCAGCGATGATTTTTCATGAAGATGGTTTCATGGGTAGTTTCAGGTGAAAGCTGTTTCATTCAGTTATTTATTTTTGGTAGTGAAATGCTTCCAGCAGGTTTCATGCTCTGGAACCTCATTACCTCGACCTGGTGCACCTGCTCCCATCTGGGACCTCACTGGGTCTTGGTCTCAAACACACATCCAGCCTACAGGAGGCCCAGAGACGTCCAGCAGAGGACAGGCACTGATGAGAACACCTCATGGGAATGGCTCCAGAGCCAAGGTCAGGGGCTCTGAAGGTGGGGGTGCTATGTAGCTGCCTCCTTACTGAAAGGCCATCCTTGGAGGAGTCAGCTCTGTGTCTCCTCTTCACTCTCGGTGGGTGATGCAACCCAGCTCAGCCAGGAAACCCACACTGCCCTTTGGTTCAGAGGCCAATTTCCCTGGAAACAGCATAGGCTTCAACATAGAGCCTAGAGTCCCACAGAACCTATTTTGGGGCCAAGCGGTAAGAGGGCTGGCTCTGGGGCTTAATGGCCTGGGTTCAATCCCAGCCTTGCCACTTACCAGCAGTGTGACCTGGGGCACACGAGTCACCCTCTTTGTGCCTCAGTTTCCCATCTGTTAAGTGAGGATATGATTAGCACTTCCTTTAAAAGGTTTAATCCTTATACTTAGATTAGTGCCTGGCATGCAGTAAAATATATGTTTTAGTTTAAGAAAAAAAAGTCTTAATTTGTGTCTTGAGACAGTTTATTGTAAAAGGGTTCTGAGGCCACATGAGTTTGGGAAACACTCAATTCTCTTTGTGAATTAGGGTATTCCAGGTTCTGCATGGAGAAACTGGGCATAACCCGATGTTATTCTGAGGAGAGGAGCTGACATTCTGTATTCATGGCTGCCTGCTGCCTGTGTTGCATTGGAATGTTAAATATTTTGATATTATCCATCCCTGCTGTGAGGATGGTTCTTTGCAGAATATCTTCTTATAACTATGGGCTCAGAATTTCATTTGGGAAATACTGGAGGTGCCACATCCTCTGGTGGGACCATCTTCACGATATAGACACTTATAAAGCATTTACTATGTGCCAGAAACAATTCAAGGGACATTAGGACATTGGCTCATTTTATCCTCGTAACTACCTTAAAAGGCAGTACAATTGTTGTTCCCATTTTCAGCTGGGGAAACTAAGGCAGAGGGAAGTTCAGTAGCTTAAGGACAAAAGGCTAGTAAAGTGGCAGAGCCAGGATGTGAACCCCTGTAGTTTGGTTCCAGAATCCATACTCCTAGCCTCTGTGCAATACTGATCCTTGTGCCCTACCAATAAGCCCCTTGGGTATGTGACGTTTGGTGGCACCAACTCCTCAGCTGCTCAGGCAGACTGATGCTTCTTAGGGTCACAGCACTGGGGCATTTGCCATGGCCTCCCTTGCCTTTGACTGTTGATCGAGTGACTGTGGGTACATCGAGGCTATCTATTCTCTGTACTCTCCACCAAGTGACCATGGGTACATCGAGGCTGTCTGTTATCTGTAATCTCCACCAGGTGAGCATGGGTACATCGAGGCTGTCTATTCTCTGTACTCGCCAACACACACAACACACGGCATGGCTTGCTAGCAGAGACTGGAGTGTCTGTATGGTATCGCCGAAGCAATGATCCCACAGAGATTTTTAAGAATTAATCTCACAGCAGTCCAAGGCTGGGGTGAAATCGGGAAGGGGCTGCAGCATTTTCCTGTTGCTGGGAATGTAGGTGTCAGTAGGGGTGAATCCAGAGCTAGGCTCACACAACCCACTCCACCTGAAAAGCTGTTTCCCTGGGCCTGGACTTCCCGAAACCTGGGCAGGGCCTGCACCTGTTTATCCAGAAAGCTGCACCCATTCCTCTCTTCCTGCTTGATTCCATCCAGGCCTGGTCTAGTCTCAGCACCTGAGATGGGGGTGGGGTGCTCTCCACCTCCTCCTCACACCGTTCCCGGCCTGCACCACCCAGTTGAACACCGTTTTATAACCTGCCTCACGGGCTGATGGGACACACGTGTTGGCACCATTTCCCCAGCCGCAAGGTCCTTGAGTTAGAAGATGGCTATGCTGCCATTGTGCCCGAGTGCCTTGGGACATGCAGATGCCCAGAAGACAGAACTCTCCCCTGCCCCTGGAGCAGCACCCACCTACGGGGCCCCTCAGATCTGTGGACCTCCGGCCTCGTTCTCTGCTGACGACCACAGCAGCCCCAAGCCCCTCGTACCTTGCTCGCTTTCAAGATCTCAAACATCAGAGGCAGGCCTTGAGTGATGAGCTCCTCAGTGTATTCTTCCTCCTGAATGGTCTTAAACTCCTTCAACAAGCACTGGATGAGAGGCCTGCGGTGCTGCTGGAAGGCAATCCGCAAAGACTCCAGCCACGTGTGTAGAGTCCACGGGACGCCTGGAGGGGGACAGGAGCCAGGGAGGGCCGGAGGGGAGGGCGGGCAGGAGAGGGGAACAACCAAAGGAGGCGTGTTTCTATCTGGAAGTCGACCTTCCCCCAGGATGTTCCCAAATTATGAGACCAAGGAACCCGTTTTCAGGGAGCCAGCGGGGGTTGTATCCCTAAGACTGGCAGAAGTGGAAATTAAAGGTCATCATCCAGTCCCCTTAACTGTGGGTGTCCATCTCCCCATGCTCCTCATATTATCAGGGGCTGCGTTTTGCAACATGTCATCGTCGTGTTGCGCACTGGAATTCTGCATACTACTTACGCATGGTACACACTCCTGGGTTCTGAGTTCACAGGCTCCCTCCCCTCCACCTACTGGGGAGAGACAGGCTCTCGAGGAGGGGAAGAGTCTTGTCCAGGATTAAAGAATTGATGTGCCCAAGGACCCGGATTCATCCGTGTCCAGATGAGAGCGTAGGGTGGGCAAAACCCACTGGCGGACTTCCCCATCTACAGCTCTGGCTAGGATGGATGTCTCCACCCGAATAAAAAGACGCGGGAGGACAGTCCTGCCATGGCCCTGTGCAAAATAACAATTCCGTCTACAAGTACTTCAACGAGTCTTCCTCTGAAACAACAGCCTCACCAGCAGCGGGTTGCTGTGATCAGCACCTCCCCTCTCATGGAGAGACTCGCATGGGGGTGGGCATGTCTCACCACTGTCTCTAGCCTCCACCCGGAGTCTCCAGCCTTATGATCATGCCAAGCAGATTCTCAGGGCAATGGCAGAAACGTCCCACACACTCAGCTGCCATCTCTAGAGACGCCTGTTTCCAGAACGGCATCCAGGGTCCTCTGCTCAGACCTCAGCCTGCCTCCAACTGCCACGCCCTGCGTTTAGGGTCCCACCTCTTCTGTGCTGGGGCTAAAGCCACTAGGCTGGTGAAGGCTAGGCTAGCCTCGTCTTCCAGATGCACACGGGAGGTAGCTCTGGGCTAGCTCACCCCAGGAAGAGCCAGCCCTAACTTTTCCAGAGAGCAGCTGTGTCCCCTGAAGCTTCCTGGAGGCGTCCTGGTAAGGAAGGGCGCCCTCAACCTAATGGCTTTGTGGAGTTGAGTGCTCTAAGGTCATGACTCCTTAACCACTGGGAACCACCTGGGATGATTGTTAAATATAAAGATTTCCAGCCTTTGTCCATCCAGACCCTTGACAGCAGAGTCTCTGGGTGTAGGGCCTGGGAATCTGCACTCAGAAAAGTTCCTCAGGTGATGTGAATTCCTGCCCCAGGGTCCAGAGTTTGGGAATCAAAGATGACCTGAGAGTGGGCCTTCAGGGCTGGCAGGATGCTGTTTTCTATGGGGACAGTGTGGGTGTCTTGGCCTGGAAGTGTTCCAACCAGGGAAGGAGAAGCTTCCTGGCTCCCTTGGTGTGAGTGTGTGTGCGTGTGCATGTGTGTGTGTGTGGTGTGTAGCCCTAGAGCCGGGCAGCAGCGCCGTGCCCGTGGTGGAGGGTGCCCAGACTGACCTATGCTCCTGATATCAATTGTGACATCCACGTAGCCATGCTCAGCGCTGTGATACATGGCCTCCCTCAGGGCCCTCAGTTTGGCCTTGCTGTTGCGGCTGGCGCACAGGGGGGGCGGGGCTGTCTCTGCCAGGTCAGTCCCCTCAGCCAGAATCTCCTCCAGGGACAGGATATCACTCTTCTCCTTCTCTGGCTGGGCGAGCAGTTTGCGGAACACATTCCTGTCAATCATAAACCCAGAGAGGATGACACTCAGAGAGGGAAGTGGCTTTGCCGAGGGGGGGGCGGGGTGGGAGAGTAGGGGGCCGCTCGCTCAGGGCTGGGGTGAGGGACCGGCGGGCCCCACAGGGTGGTGGTTTCAGAGGCCTGACCATGGGCACCATGTTGTGGGCATGGAGGAGATGGGCGGGGGTATGACTGAGTTTGTTTCCTTGAGGCAACTTGGAGCTAATGGACTTCTTCAAGTATCCAGAAGGCTCTAGAACTCTGCTTTGGAAACCATCCCTCCACAGTGAATGTGCTTTCTTTGGGGTTATGTGTCATAAAATCTGATGGGGGTAGATTTCGGAGGAAACGAAGTAACCAAACGTGAGAGGTCTTATTATTTTGCAAAAGGATGCTTCTGACTTCATGACAGCTGATGTGATGTGCTGTGACCAAAACTGGGAAAAATTGACGTCTCTCTGTGAGATTCATGCTGGCCAGACACGGGCAAAATGAGCCAGTCTGGGTGGATGTGCACTGCACAGAACTGGCTCTCAGTTGGCCAGGCCCGGGGCCAGGACTCTCTCTCACTGCCTCTGGGCCCCACATCCAGAGAAACATGGGTCTGGGGTAGGCCTGGGAATCTGCATTTTTAACAAGCACCACTTGGGACCTCGTGGCTGTGGCCCATCCTAGCCTACCTGTGTCCGTGGGCTGCGGCCTGGCTGAAAGAATTCATATCACCCTGGGGGGTTGTAGAAATTCCATTCCTGTACATGGTTCCTATCAGGGGATCCGCACCACGCTCCAACAGCAAACTAACCAGCTCAAAATTTCCTGCAAGCCCAGAGAAGGGGGTTTTATAAGAGAATAAAGCAAACATATAGTTGCAGGCACTTCAAGGGCCAGGGCGAGGACCGGCCACTCTTACCTACTGCGGCTGCGAGCTGGAGCGGCGTTTCTGAGTAGTTCTCCTCGCCGTGCTCCACCGAGCCCTCCACCTTGGCCCCAGCATCCAGGAGGAGCTGTGGAGGAAGAGCGGCCATTGAGACACTTAGAGGACGTGTGCCGTGTGTGGGTGCCCGTCTGGAATGGCGGAGTCAGTGAGATGCCAGCGCTCCTTCCCTCCCTCTGGGCCGGTGACCACGTGCACAGGGCTGGAGGGCAACCGTACCTCAGGATGAACTGAGAACCTCCGGTACCTTCTAGAACCCCAGGCTACTCAGAGTACAGTCCATGCACAACTGCATCAGTCCATGCACAACTGCATCCCAGGTGATCCTGGGAGCTTGTTGGAAATGCTGACTCTCAGGCCCTACCCCAAACCTGACGGACAGTCTGCATTTTCACAAGATCTCCAGGGCATTTACATGTCCATTGAAGTTTCTAGAAGCACCGAGTTTAAAGTCTTTGGCACCAGAATGATGGAAGACTTCCTTCTTGGGCCGGTTACACAAAGCCTCAGAGGGCATGAGAGCGGACTCTTAGAACCAGACTCTCAAGAGCTCTGAAGGACTTTGGGGACCAGCCAAGGCAAGAATTCCTACTAGAACACCCTGGATGGTTCTGAAGATAGTTTGGCCAATGCTAAGTTTTCGGCCAACAAGACCAGTTAATAAAAGGGGCAGAGTGAGCTTTCAGAAGTTTTGCTTCACATACCTTCATTCTGTGCATTCCCTGAGATACCTGGGCTTCTTAAAAAGGCAGAGATTCTGTCCATGCCACATCTCACAGTGAATAGACGTGCAGTCAGCACCGCTGATACAAAATGGGGAAAAAAACTCCTGCCATCTTTACTGTCTACCTATGGCTACCCAAGGGCATACCCGAGTGGGCACTGCTACTTGGCATCCGTGAAGTGCTGCACTTGCAGAAGGAGGTAGCCTGACTTCTGGGTGGCTTTACTAGGCTTCCTGTTGCTCTCATTTTGGATTTGAAGTCCAGGAATGCCCCTGCATGTTAAGGGATGACATCTGTGTCCACCAGACCACCATCCAACCCCACTCCAGGAGTGGACTGGACACGCTGTTCTACAGGCAGAAGCCAGCACTCGGTGTGCTGTGTCACATGTTCAGCCTCCTGAAACAGGACTTGGGATCTGTCCTAAGGATTCCCATAGTCCAGGACACAGCAAAGGATTCCTCTGAGAGTCCAACATTGCTGAGCTGTCCCTCTGACACTATTCCCTGCTCTGCGTAGAATAAAGAGGCGTGGACCACACCAGAGAAGGTGAGTTCCATCGTGGGGCCAGAAGTAGTCATGACCCTGGGTGCTGATCTTTCTTTTCTAATGAAGTAAAGCCCAAGTGTAAGATCTGGAATGTACTAGTTGGCTATTTGTTGAACACCAACTCTACAACAGCCAGAGACGGTGCAGGCGATACACATTTCTCTGTCTAAAGGACTGCTGATGAGGATGGGCCACTGCACTTAGGGCGGTTTCAGAAGACATACAGCTATGGCCCAGCTCTAAGACCTCCTGGATCCGCGTCTCAGGAAGTGGGGTCCTAGCAAGCAACTTTAGAAACACTCCCTTGGTGATGTAGATGCCTCTTCCCATTGGCTGGAAACCATGAGATTCTATGCAAACACTGGGGTCACACCTAGGGGGAGGTTCCAAGGAATCGACACCAGCCAAGTCTTACTTTCATGTTGCAGCAAGCAAGATGAACAAATCCACAGACAGCTAAAGCCCCACCCCAGAGCATCCAGGAAGAACTTGGTAGGATTGCCATTCTGTGTGTGAGGCTGCATGTGGGTAAGTGACAAGTTCATATTGGTTAAAGCCAGGTCTTGTAGGTCATTACATACAATATTTTTATCCCTATGATATGAATATGCTATATCTCATTGCACTTAACCAATATGAATCTCTCAGGGAATATGCATGCTGGGAGAGGTATAGATTTGCGTTATGGAAGAGGTAAAATTAAAGGTCAGATGTGGATAGGGAAATATGTTAATACCTGAACTACAGGAATATGTCCATGCAACACAGCAAAAGTCAGAGCCGTCCAATGGCGGGTCTCGGGGTGGACGGATGGATATTTATGAGGAGTACTGACAACCTATAAACAAATCGAAGTTATTTTCAACATGTGACCTTCACAATACTTAGGCTAGCAAATCTGACCTATCTGTGGCTGGGCACATGGGCTGGTGGTGTACAAAGAGGCATCCTGGAAGATGCCTTGGGCAACACTGGTGACACAGTTAGGGCTGTTCCCCTGTCGATGCCCCAAATGCCTCTCACCAGAACCAGGCATCTGTCCTGCTTGTGCCTGTAAGAACTGAGTCGGAAGCAATTCTCCAAAGGCAGGCCACTGGAAGACCATGTTTTGGAGATTTTAGCCACTGGGCAGTGAGAACATTTCTCGGTGACTTTATGTGTATAGTAAGGACTCCTTTGCCTCTACTCTGAGAGGAATTAAAGGTGACTTCTGATTGCCCCGAGGTCCCTTGGAGAAGTTGTAACAGTTGTTCCGGTGAGCCAGCCCTTCTGCCTGTCTTAGTCCTCTTTCTGTCTAAGGGAAGGTGGTACTTCTGAGAGCCACAGGACACCAGAAGGCGTAGGAAGTTACTACCGTGCCATCTATACTTGAAGACATTCTCAGTGGTGGTAAACCCCAGGCAAGGGGCAGTCTGCTTCAGGCTGCCAAGCCAGGGAAGTTCATCACTCTTCCATAGAAGAACTTCACCCACGCGGATCTCATTTCTCTCTTCTGCCGGCTTCCTGGTTGACAAGGCCCTTCGCGCTACCAAAACACGGGCATGAAGCTTTCCTGGGACACATCACGAATGAATCTCAGACAACCCAGGCCAAGAGAGAGGAGGCAGGGCAGCTGAAGAGTAGGTCTTACAAGATCAGTCCCACACCAGGCTTTTCTCCCAGACATTCCCAGGGTCATGTGACCTCGATGCCTGCTTTAGTCAGAGCAGTCCAGTTCACTAAGCACCTGCTGGAAGGAGACCTGGGCTGGGATCTGTGGGATGGGCTAGAGAGGAGGACCAGAGACCCCCGAGGATGCAACACTGAGGAGCCTTTGCATGGTACTTGGGGGTGCACAGCAGGGGGGAAGACCCCCAAAGAGTCGAAACTTATAAGATCCAAAATGGTCGGGATCCAAAACTATGTCTATTGTCTGATTTCCTCAGATGAACATAAAACTCACTGATTAAAAGAAAAAAGCACAGCCCAAGACTGCATGAGCATCTGATTTCAAACTGAAAAGGTGTCCCAGGGTTGCTGAGTTATGACTGCAGCATGACGATCTTTCTGCTGCCCGAGACAACCAATATCTGGTTGTCAGGGACAGTGGTCTTCAGACTGCATGAGATATGGTAACCAAGTGGGCTTTCAATTGTTGTGAGCCTGGGGTGTGAGTGGAGGGTCTCTTTTCTTGCTGAGTCCTAAATCTATGCTAGGTACTCTCAAAATCCCTTCCAACAACTGTCTGAGATGGGTGTGATTATTTTCCCCTTTTGCAGATGGGGACAAGAAAGGTCGAATCACTTGCCCAAGTGTAAAAGCGAGTCACCATGACAGCAGTGGTTGCAGAACTTGAAACCACGTCTGGTCAAATTCTGAGGCCAGTGTTGTTGAGCGGGGAAGAGAGGGCTTGGGGGGAGGTGTGCTGTCCACTCCACCCCACTGTCTCAGGGAAGCTTTGAGATCTGTCACTCAGCCAACAAGGGGCACCAAGCAGGATTGGCAGGGAGGATGGAGGATCTGGGAGAGGGAAACAGCTCAGGGGACCGGGCCACTGCTTCTTCCACTTTGTCTAAAGCAGAGGGAAAAGGGTGACGGCTCAGGAAGGTTCTTTCTGCTCCATCCCAGAGGGGATGGATCGATTGTAGGAATCAGGGCCCCAGGACTGTGGAGCCAAGGAAAAGCCGGTGCTCCCTGAAGCTGTATTGGTTGTTTTTAAACAGAACATATACACAGGCAGCTCCGTGGAGTTTGGTTGGACTGGGGTCTCAGGGTGGACAGAGTCCATCAGGTGGTCTCACCAGGGCCACAGCAACTAAAAGGGCAGGGGGATGATCTATCTGTTGAACAGAGCTTGCTCGGTGGTGGCGATTGGGAGAAGCCCCCCATCCTGCTCGCCTTCCCCTTGGGGCAGCCAGGCCGGGGGCCCGGCAGTCCTCTGTACCCTCACCTCCACGTTCAGGTCAGCTCCAGCATCCAGCAGCATCTGAACCATCGCCTCGTCCCCACGGACACAGGCGTACATCAGGGGAGTCATGCCCTGCGGTGAGTTAAAAACCAGAGAACGGAGATGTTTATAAGGCAGCTGTGGTCAGTCGAGGACAACAAATGGAACATCTTACTCATGTTCAGGAGGCTACGCCTATGCTCACAACCCAGCATGACCAAAAGAAATGTGCAGCCTATGACTCGTAAGGGCACCTCCCTCCTTGTTTTGGGAACCAGCATGGAGGTGAGAAGGGAACTTCCCTTGCCTTTTCGGCACTTATCTTTGCTTAAATCGGAGGACTTTGGTTTGTTTGTCTTAGGGTGCAACAGATCTAAGTGCGTTTGCTAAAACAAGAGGTTGATTTCAATGTATGGCTCCTAGGAAACTTCTGGATTGATTGTACATTATCAGCAATCGAACTGGTAAACAGTTTCTTTGGCATTTCCGCTTTCACAACATAACATGTGTCATCTTTGCTCTATATAAGCTGCTGGTCAGCATCGAGGGAATTGGGTGCCTTTGAGTATGTGGCATCGCCTGTCACTGACATCTGGCTTGATGTTACCATTTACAAGTCAAAGGCAAGCAAATGAGGAATGGCCTTTAGGAATCCCATAATCCTTATTACAAAGGAAGCAGCACAACCAACAGCAGGAAGGGATGGATGTTCAGTAAACAGTGTCGTGAGGCTTTATCTGGGAAAAGCTCCAAGTTACAGCCTTATCTCACATCATCCACCAAAATCATTTCTAGTCTGATCAGATTCATGGAAAAATTAAAACCATAAAAGGTATCTAACTGGTCTCTGGATCCATTTCTATGCATAGTAGAAGAAATCACAATGGAAAATAATTATAGCACTGAAGACATACAATTGAAAACATCATAAACAAGATTAAAAGGTAAACAATACATTTAGACATTTTTTGCCACATTATAACAAAGAGTTATGTGCCTAATATATAAAGAGCTCTCCTAAATAAAGAAGAAAAAACAGCAAAGCTCCAATGAAAAACAGGCAAAAGATAGATCAGTAGAGAATACATACCTAGCTGGAGGGTGTGTATGAGGGAACAAAGGTTCTGGGAAAGGAATTTAAGGAATTTCTGGGAGGCTTAAGAAAAGTTGGTGAGTTTGAGCCACTATTTCCATTTTTTAAAATTTCCCTAAAGACAGAATCAGAGATCTAAACAAAATTTTGTGTAATTATGTTTAGCCCAGCATTATTCATAGTCGAAATATCCCATAATTGAAGTATGGCTAATGAATAAACAATATAATCATTTAAGCCATTAAAAGTGATTTTTTTTTTTTTAAAAGAATAAGGCTGAGCATGGTGGCATATGCCTGTAGACCCAGTTGTTTAGGGAGGCCGGGTGGAGGGATCACTTGAGCCCAGGAGTTGGAGTCTGCTGTGAGCTATATCATGTCTGTAATAGCCAGTGCACTCCAGCCCGGCAACACAGCAAGACCCTGTCTCAAAAACAACAACAACTACAAAAAACAAAAACAACAATATTGCAAAGTACCCTTAATATAAAATATATGGTCAGGTGCAGTGGCTAATGTCTGCAACACCAGCACTTTGGGAAGCCAAGGCTGGACGACTGCTTGAGGCAAGGAGTATAGCAGAATCCTGTCTCTAAAAAACAACAACAAAAAAATTAGCTGGGCATGGTGGCACCTGTAGTCCTAGTTACTGAGGAGGCTGAGGCAGGAGGATCGCTTGAGCCCAAGAGTTTGAGGAGGCAGTAGGTAACCTATGATCATGTCATTGTACTCCAGCCTGCCTCCAAAAAAAAAAAAAAAAAAAAAAAATATAATAAAAATCCCTGGGTTTAAAAACGTAATGTAACTATATAAGTGTATATTACGGATCCTTGATGTTGCTCAAAATTATTAGCTGCACTTAAATAAATAGTCCCTGCCATCCTGGAACTCATTGTATGAACTGCCCATGGGAGAAGTAGCCCTATCTGTCTCTTGTGACTTTCCATCTGCGACTCACATTTAAGACAGCTGCTTGTTTTCTCTGTCTGTGACATATCTCCACACAAAGCATCTGACCAGGGGACACGTGTGTCTCTCCCTGCACTTCAGTTTCAGGAGTCTGGGGGGATGGCTGCCTATCTCTGAGGTGCCTCTGAGGGTCTCCAGAATTTTATGTATCTTAAGCATACCCTTAAAGTTTGGTGAAATCTGTCTGGGCTTGTCCTGTGCAGGAACAGATAGACAAGCCCGGAACTAATTTTAACCACGCTGGAAAGGGACTTGAAGGACACATACTAAAAATAAACGATGGTTATATGGGCGATGGCATTATTTGCTTTCTGGAATGGGCCTGTTTTTCTCTCTTTTCCATTTCAGCTGCACCGATCATGTGCTACTTCTATAACGACGAACAGGAATATTTTTATATTTTAAAAACTAAAAAAAAAAAAAAAAAAGACAAGCAACCTAAGCAGACAGCAGGGGGCGCCTCTGCCCAGCACCTGCTGGGGGTTCACCAGCTGTCTCAGTCTTGCCAGGGGGTGGAGGAGGTGGGAAAGCGGTCAGACCCTCAGGCCCTGTACCTGTTCGCTCATGGTGTTGATCCCGTCGGGCCCCAGCAGAGACACCGCCTGCTTCACTAGGTCCGTCCGCCCACAGTTCAGCATCCGGAAGCCCAGGTCCTGCTTAAACTTGGCTTCGATGGCCACTGCGTCCAGCTTCCGGGAAGCGCAAAAGCAGTCGTCGGCCCTAAGGAAGACAGAGACTGTCATGTGGGTGCAGCGACTTCCCCAGAGATGGGTCCCCGAGGGGCATGGCACAAGCACAGGGTTTCTCATTTGCTTTTCATGTCAACTGCCTGCTCCCAGGGAAGAGGTGGCCTCCTGATGTCTCTGGGTCCTTTACAGCTGCTGGGCTGTCTTGGCTCCCTGTACCCCCCCAGCACACGGAACCAGATAAGGGCCGATGTTGCTGAATGTTGACTAAGGGCCAGGCACCCCAGGAGGTAAATAATATCATGACCCCACTTTTAACCACAGGGAAACAGACACAGGTAAGGGACTTGCCCAGCAGGCAGTGGAGCTGGGATTTGACACAGACAAGGGAGTTGTGTAGAGAGCTGGCCTACATATCTGTGTCACCCTGTCCCCTGATCATGGCGTCTTCTATTTGCCTGTTGACTTGTCTGACCGGCCACTCTAGAGACATCTGAGAGCAGGGGCCTTGTCTGGCAGCCCCTCCTTCCCAGGGCCAGACAGCACACAGCACACTGGAGGTGTTAAGTGTGAGCTGAGTGAACACAGGATGGGTGGATTCTCCACCTTCAAAACAGAAGCAGGACAGAGAACTGGCAAGATGGAATCAAGTGAAAATAACAAAGTGCATCGGAAACTGTCACCCAGCCAGTCAGGTGCATGGAGGAAGAGGCTGGGCAGGGGTAGGAAGAGACTCAGAGAATCAAGAAGGTGATATAAACTCTGCTTATAAAAGATGTTGCTTCCTTCTTGTGATGAACTGACCAATCGGTTAATTATAAAATCAAACCACTAAGCATCTGTGGAATACCCGCTGGCGCCAAGCTCTGTTCTAGGTGCTGAAAACATAAAGGTAAACATGTTGTTGTCTCTGCTCTGGGGACAACTGTCTGGAAGGTTGAGGATGCAGGCACAGGACGTTATAATTCAACGTGGCAAATGCAAGGATTGAGGGACCAGAGACAGACACTATTACAGGACACATGCGCTGTGAGAGAACAAGGAAGCTGCACCCAACAGAGCCTATGGGATCCAGCAAGGCTTCCTGGGGGAGGTGACCCCCAAACTGTGTCTTAAGTTAAGAGACAGGAGAAGAGAAGGCAGAACTCTCAGCAGGGCCAGTAGGAGCAAAGGTATGGAGGTGAGACACGGTAGCCTGTGTTTTACTATGAAGGTTTCGGTGTTTCTGGGGCATAAATTTGTAGGCGGAAGCAGAGGGTGGTGAGGCAGGCGGGGACTAGATCACAGAGGACCTTTGACTTAGTCCTTAAGACCTCAGGCTTTATCCTCAAAAGCCAGCGGGGGAGTGTTCTGGATGGGTGGTTGACTCTAGGAGAGGATGGAATATGCTGACCCCAGCATTAAATGAACTAGCTGGGTGGGCAGAGAAGCCACTGCAAGCACGGGAAGTGACAAGGGGCTGAGCTGAGGCAGTGGCTGCTGGGATGGTGCAGAGAGAGCGGACTGTGTCTTCTCCAAGTGCTCTGGCCCTTGCCTGCAGGCTGGCAAACTCCTTGTGTCAGCTGGTGTCATATTATACAACCAGTGCTCACTGATTTCCCTCGCAGTCCCCCTGCTCACGCACTCAGGGGGTGGAAACTGAGGAAAGGAGCTGGTGTTCAGAATTCCTGGTTCTGCTCCTGCTGCTAACAAATCCACTTTGTGGTAGAAGGAAGGATGAAGTTTGGAAGGGAGGTGTCTGCTTTTTTATCCTTGGAAGAAATAAGGACTCTTGTTCCAGAATGTATGGCTAGGATCTGGGGAGAGAACCTGACTGAACCACGAAGCCAGCTTCGGGAAGTGGATGGGATGTGTGTGCCCTTGGCCTGTCCGCTGGGCTCCTGATATATCATTCACCTCTGCGTGGCCTGAAGATTTTTCTGGAACGGGAACCCAGTGGTAGGAGATGCTCAGCTCTTGGCACTAGACACGAGGTGTTTGCTTCTGGCCGCCAGGGGGAGCTGATGTGGCACAGACAGATTCCACAGACAGGGATGAAAGCCTGGTGTCGAGATGGGTGTGAGCTGCATACCTGCCTTAGGAACTAAGTGTCAAGCCAGGCCTCTGAGGGCCTATTTGTATGAGAGCCCTGTGAAGGTTAATGAAAGGTATTTAGAGCCGGGCTCGGTGGCTCAGCCTGTAATCCCGCGCCTTTGGGAGGCTGAGGTGAGTGGATTGCCTGAGCCTGCGGGTTCGAGACCCGCCTGGGCAGCGAGACCTCATCTCTACCATATATCA